TGCATCTACAACTAAATAAATATTTTTAGAAAATCCCTCACAATTACTATAATCTATTAATAAAAATCTTATTATGTTATTATAGACCAAAAGAGGCTGATTTAATCTGAAAATCTTCCTAAAGGTCTAGAATACGAAGGGCACAGATGAAAAGTGTGCCTGCACCAAGACACTACTATAGCTGGATATTCCAGTTTCAGTTTGGGCACCACTCCACCTTGTACCTTCCAACCCAAACAAGGAAGGTGTGAATCTGCAGGGCTCCTGTGTGGGGCTGGCATCCCAGGGCAGTGGATCTGAAGTAAAAATGGGTTTTAGAGACCAAAAAAGCTTTGGGAATGCCCCTGGGAGACATATGTGGTGTCCAACAGGCTCATCTTCCGTTCTGTAATTTTGAATGCACTGATCTCTTGGGACTAGGACCTCATCTGCAGTAGCTTGGGGATGCCAAGACCTGATAGGTGCTTATACAGAGCCTCCAATTTTATCCATAAAGGAAGTCATTTCTGTGACTTTAAGGATCCTGCTCAGCAACCCTCAGGTAAGTGGATTGGTTCTTGCTTGCTCAAGGCTTTCGCAAGGTGGGGAATTTCCCCCCACATTGTGGTCCCTTTCCAGGTAGAACTCAAGGACTACAGAATTCTGAACCTGCTCCCACAGGAGAGAAAAGAATTAGTTTTCTTCATGTTCATTTTTTATATTGTTTAAAAATGTATCTATTGACATATTTACAACAAACATTGAAGGGGTTCATGTTATATCTTCATTCATACCAAGGGCATTGGTCACTTCCACCAACTTGTCTTCTATCTTCTCCTCAATTCTTCCTAGACCCTAATAATCCTTACTCTACATTCAAGTAAACTTTTTGTTTATAAAATTCTAAATTTGAGAGAGAACATGCCATACATGTAGCTATTTTCATAACAACTTGCTGAAATATGCGTGATTGAATAATATGCTTGATTGAATAATAATGCTGAGTTGATGACATTGAATGGATAATTAAACAGGGGGGCCGGTGTTTCTATAAAATGTAAATATATGTGTGCTTCTGATAATTTTTTAATAACCAATTTCTGGTAACCTTGCAACAGTGGGCCATACTTGTAATCACACCTATTGAGGAACCTGAGGTGGGAGGACTTCAAGGTTTAGAATGTCTGGGATATTTAGGAAGGCTCTGTGGCTGAAAGAAAATACCAATAAAGGGGCTCTGGTAGTAAAATGTGAAAAATTATTTTACATTAGGGAGATGTTTTAAAGGGCCACAGTTTTGTTCTTCATTGGGTTTATGCTTGTAGGATAATAAGCAGTATGATCATGTAAGAATGATCAAACCTTTACAAAGGTTATTTGTTGTACTATGTTTTAGGAACTGTTGTTACTTTGCTCATATTTCCTTTTTTCTTCTTCAGTACTGGGAATTGAAGCAAGGTCCCTAGAACAAAGCTACATTTCTAGGCTTTTTATAATTTTGAGAGAGAGTCTCCTTTAGTCCCTCACCTGACTTCAGACTTTTATTCCTTCTACCTCAGCTTCATAGTTGCTGTGATGACAAGTGTGTGACAGAACAATGCTGGACTGACCTATGGTTTCTTAGAATCCTAAGACATAAGTTTCAAAATTAAGAATTTAGTTCTCACTTCACAGATTGAATAATGTTTACCAGCTGTGACTTAAAAATTTTAAATTTATAATCACATTTTAATTTATTAAATGTTGAGATAAGAATTTAAGTCTGAACCATATTTTTTTTTGATATTTGAAGAGTATAGCTTTCCATTCCCCCACCCCACCTCTCTATTCCCCTTAGTCCTTATAATTTAGGAATTCATCAGTAGAGAAACACAACAGGTAGCTGAGAATTCCAATCAAGAGTGGAGAATTGATTTCCATCTTTTCTCCTAACAGGACTCTCTACAGAGGACTCGGTTGCAGCATTGCCTGTGGTGTGATTTTGGATAATAAATTAAGCCTTTGTAGAAGCAAAGGTACATGCCCTGAAGAAGCGCTGTGATCATGGGATTTCACATACACAAAGGAAACAGAGAATCTGGTGTTTCATAATGAGTAAGCCTTTGCGAAATATTTTAACCTTAATCTACTTAATCTAATTAATTAATTACTTAATCTAATGAATTACTCATACCAATTAGATTTATTATAATTGCATCCAAGATGATTTCTATTCTTTTTTTCTTTTTTTAAAAAATTTTTTCTTCCAAGATATACAGGACAGTAAATATGATTGCTTTTCTACTGAAGTTCATCGGACCCAACCTTGTGAAGCAATTTATTGCCAAGAGTACTATCATCATCCAACATAATGAACGCTACCTTGAAATTGTTCATTCAAGTGGGCTATCAATAAAAAACAAATGCTGAGCAGCCACTCAATTCTTTCCATCCTCTTTCAGCCCTGCCACTGCTTCTTCTGATTTAGAGGCCAAAGTCATGGACCAATTACTCTTGTGTCAAGCAAGCTCAGGAATCTACAGAGTGACAGTAATATCCTAGTTGCCTTTGTCACTGAGCTTAGAAGATTCTGGGAAGTTGTTTCCCTTTCTGTCCTCAGCTGGGAGAACCCAGGTGGGAAAGCCTAAAATATAGGCCATGGGGGCTGCTATATTTGGTCTCCTTCCATCCAGACACTTGCCTAGCGCCCATACACAATAGAACCATCCCTAGTTCTACCTGCCTGCCTTTCCAGAACCCTATGCCGATGACATCAAAGAACTCAAATTCATCCTCAGGAGAGTGCCATGCTGCAAAGCAACCAGACAGTCACCTGACCTGGCAGCTTCTTTTGGTGAAATCCGTATAGTCCTAGAGACAGGCTCCCAAGAGACATGCAAACTTTTAACCCTGATCCATGACCACTGAGTTCTAGGAGTACTGAGTGTTCAGATTGGTAGATTTTGTTTTTACTTCTGTTCCAGAAAAATGTAAGATGTATCACTTACCAAAGTCTCCTTGTTTACTTTCTAATAGGCAATCGATGTTGTTGTACAGGCTCTCATAAATATTTGGTTCTCTTGATCAACAGGAGACAGAATGAAGAGAGAAGAGAGGATGGAGGAGTGCTGCAAGTGGTAGGAGACAGAGCTCTGATTCTGAGCTGTGCTGTGGACTGGACATCGGAGCCTTAGAGATGGTCTCCTTTGGTGGACAGAGGTATGGAAAGTATCCAGAGAAGGCGATGCAAAGAAGCCCCAAATTTTAGCCTCAAACAATATATCCAAGTATAGGAAAGAAATTATGGGACGGTAGGAGCTTCTTAGGTGGAAAATGTGTCTCTTTGCACAATATCTGTATCCTGCATCTATTTAAGGAAGGGCCTGGAGTCTTCAGTGTCTAAGACAGCCACAAGGATGTCCTTGACCAGCACAGCTTCTCTCAGACACTATCATCTCTGAGTGGTGTCACTGAGATCCAGTTTAATACCAACCAGGGAGAGAAGGTCCTGGAAGGCAGAATGTCTGCCTCTGGTCCCTGGATCCCTGTGGTAATGAGTTAAACTATATAGAAAATGTACAAATTTCTCTATTTAAACAATGTATTTCCTGATGGAAAGGCTTACACAGAAGAAAACCTATAAAGTATCTAGATGAAATTTTGAAAGACATGTTTTCTTTTACCTGTATATTTTCTCAAAGAAAAAATTATATAAAACTAACCTTATAAAAACATCCTGAAATCAAAAATATTTTAAATATTCTTTTTATGGAGAATATGTATTTTTAAATATATTTTCTCAGTTGTAGATGGACACAATACCTTTCTTTATTTCTCTTTATGTGGTGCTAAGAATCAAACCCAGGGCCCCACACATGTTAGTTGAGCACTGTATCTCTGAGTCACAACCCCAGCCCAACAGGAAATGTATTATTTTATTTATCCATTCTTCTGGGGTTGTCAAAAATTAAAGAGATTATTATAAGCTCAAGGCACAAAGTCTAATATAATAGCATGATTGTATTCCTTCAGTCTTTAGGAACCCACACTGAACACATACAGTTTATGCACAAGGGATAAAGAAAATTAGCAATCTGATCAAAAACCAAAAGCAGATTTCAGGCTGAATATTAGAGAATGTCTCTCAAAAATCGCACAGCAACTGGCCCATAGAGAGAGTTTCAGAAATTAGAAAAGACTGGACAGGTAGCCATCAACACCAGAGCAAACCTCTACAGAGCCACAAAGCCCCTGGCAAATGTCAGAATACTGGGTCATTCCAAGTGTTTTGGGGGAATATGTGCATGCTTTACTGCACATCACTATTGGAAAATAAATGCTGCACCCTAAGGAACAATCTGTCAATTATTGGTAAAATTAAGGTCATCCATTTTTTATGAAACAGTTTTATTAATCGTCACCTGTTCTAGAGAAATTCTCCCACAGGTTCATAGAGACAATTATGTGTGGTTATGGGGACAGCAGCAATATGAATGTCCACTGCAGAACAATGTAGAGTTGGGGTGTGCTAAGGCACATCAGAGGCTACTATGTCAGAATTTGAAGCAGCAGATTAAATGTACATAAAAAGATCTTAATACGTTGCAGATGGGGACTTTGAGTGCAGATTAGTGGTAGAGTGGTTGCCAGCATGCATGAAGTCCTAGCATCAATACCCAATGATACTTAAAAAAATAGTCGAAAGAAAGAAAAAGAAAAAAAAAAGAAATGTTAAAATTTTTTCTAAATACAATTGGGTATGTCCCCTGAAACTTTTTACATCAATTAAAAATATAATCTCCTGAAGAATGAATCAATCCTCTTCCTATAACTTGTTAGAGGTTATGGTGAAAATGGTTCACTATTGTGTTGATACAAAAAGCTCGAAAAAATCTTGCAAATCAAGAGGTTCAAATATTTGTGTTCACTTTTGAAACACAGCAAAACTGTCAAGGCCATCAAGGGTATGCATATCCATGGTCTTAAGAGTATGATCCAGCACCACTGAGTCTGGTCTCTGAAACCAGCTAGTCCATATGTGGAGAACTAGCTAGGTGTAGTGACCCTTGCAGACAATCCCAAAGAAGCAAGAGACTGAGGGAAGAAATACAGATGTTTGAGGCCATCCTAGGCAAGATAGCCAGATCTTGTCTCAAACACAAGATAAAATGGGCTGACAGGAAGATCTTTGGTAAAGTCTAATATTCAATCACAAGAATCATTGAAAAACAAACAAAAATTAAATGCAGAATTAGGCCAGGTATTTTGATTTTTTTCTTTTGTATTTTATTTAAAGACAGAGTCTCACTGAATTGCTTTGCACCTTGCCCTTGCTAAGGCTGGCTTTGAATTCAACATTCTCCTTCCTTGACCTCCCAAGCTTCTGGGATTACAGAGGTGCACCACCATGGATGGTTAATTTGTCTATGTTTATTTGAAATAGAGAAAGAATTTTTGGAGTGAATTGAAACTTGAAAGAACTAGAGGCTCGCTTCTGTTTTACCTCATCAATGCATCCATTACCTAATTCAATCAAAACCAAGGAATTTCCAAAAATGCCTTCAGGATTGGTCCACTTGCACCTTAATCCTATGAGGGTCCTCAATCAATGTATGATGCAAATTAATGTCCCTCCCACATGATTGGGTGTTTCTTCTGAGGTTAACTACTGGACAGAACACTATGAAAAGCTTCAGTCCATACCAGACTGAATGAGTTTTTCCTTTTTCTAGGCCAGGTAAAAACACACCTTGGCATGGTAGGGAAGCTGAAGCTATGGCAGTCTGTCAGTCAACCTGGAGATCACTGACTCTTAGGAGATCTTGTCCACAGCCCCACATTCCCCTAGGCCTGAACCCAGGTAATTTTCCTTCACTGAGCTGCCACTCCTCCCAGTGCCTCCAGAGCTGCAGAGATGTGAATTTTCCAGTAAGCCAACTGCCTCACTGGGCTTACAAAGAGCAGGGAGCTGTCTTTGGGGAACTGAGGTTGTGCAGTAAAAGTATGTGTTGTTACCCAGGAGCAGGGTGTTGAGATGGACCAGCATCAAGTTCAAGACCATTCAGCAGCCAATGACTAAAACCTCTCAGGAGCTCTAGTCACCTCAAATATCTGCAAACACTATGGTTAGTGGGACCAATGGGTCCTGAACTTCCAAGGAGGTGCCAGTGCTTGGACAATTGGACAAACCCACACTCAAGCCTTCTCTTGGAGCCCAGGATTTCCCCAGAAGCTGCTGAAAACTGAGGCTCACATCCCAGAGGAACCCAGAAAGGAAAGGAATCTCATCTTGAGGATGCCTTGCAGTACAATGCCCTTCAGCCAAAGCCCTAGAAGGAACCTGAAATACACCAGTGGGGACCCTCATACTGCCCCTGTGGACTCATGCACTGGGACTATGCTGTGCATGCCTAGGCACTTTGAAGTCTTGGATGTGGTGATCATTCCTCATTTTGTTCTTTCTCTCTGAAATGATTTAAAGGTTCTTGAATAAAAAAAATTCTTTGTGTAATTAATTTGTTAAAGAACTCTTCTTTTAAATGAACTGAGAATTCTTCTAGTTTCTAATGTGATTGAATTTTTCATGATGAGCCATTCCTTTATTCACTGCTTGTCTATTGATCTGGAGGGGGTGAGTAAAGGGTCAGTTTGGGAAGCTGTATAGGTAGGTCTGGGCCAGGAAGGAGCCAATTACCCAGCTCAGATCTGTGGCTGAACTCAATGCCATCTCTGGAGATATGAGGGTAGTGTGCTAACAGAATGTATAGTTGGGTGGCCACTTGATGGTGTCTCTTCAAAACTGAATGTGACCTTCCGGAAGAGGAGAGAGAATAAGCATCAATGAATAACCTTTAAATGGTCTACAGTTAATTTCTTATTAACTAAGAAGGATATCAAAATGAAATCTCTAGTCTTGGGACTTCTGAGTTGACAATCATGGGATCCAAGACATCAGCTCTAGGTCAGACATGTCCAGACAGTTACAGAATCCTGCCCTGGTGAGCTATGTCTAGGTTAAGAGAGTTTACAGATTTTCTTTTGAGATCCACCAAAACTGAAGGTTTTTGGGTGGGGTCATATGCCTAATGTCAGTTGGCTGAGCTAGCTTTATCAAATTATCATCAGCAGGATGCCATGTTGTTTACTAGTAGTCTAAGCTACACAGGAGGCTCAGGCAGGAGCATTTCTTGGGCCCAGGACTTTGAAGCCTCCCTGGAGAACAGAACAAGATCCTGTCTCAAAAAATAAAAAGATAAATTATACATTGAGCTCAGCTTGATGGGATGTAATGCCTTCATTAGCATGAACATTGATTTTTAAACTTTCCTGTTCCCTGAAACCCCGTAGGTTTTAGATTGAGGGTATTTGGATTTAGAGGGACTTAGGTGCTAGGTCTTACTGATTAGTGAGATCAGACCTGTTTGCCTTGCTTTTCTCATCAGCT